GGGGGGGGGGGGGGGGCTAAGGACTGAGCAGCTTGTCACTAAAATGAGAAGAGCTGGATAACCATAATAAAGTTGGCTCACCGTAAGCGTGCCTGAAACGAAGTTGTGGCTAACTTCGGAGCAAGTCTACGGACAATGAATAATATGTGTGCATTAGGAGTCAAGTGGATCAGATTATTTTCTGTTCTTTTTTGTGTTCTATTAACCCATTTAATCACAATTTTCTTTCCCAGATATGAAAATATGTAAATCAATTGCAACCTTTTGAAATAATCAATTAATTATCTTTTGACATTTGCATAGAAATGTAGATGAAAAAAGTGTGTTTCATGGTCAGTCACAATTAGTGGTGGATATTATGAGGACATTTATAGACTGAATTTACATATTCCTCCTTAAGTCATCAGAATTGTTATATACCTCAGACCAGTGTCTTGAGCAAGACACTGAACCCCAGTTGCTCCAGATGGTCAGGCCACTTTGCATGGTGGCTTGTTGCCATTGGTGTTTGTCTGCGTGAATGTGACACAGATTGTAAAGGGCTTTGGACAAAGGCGACCTGTCCAGTAGGGGCGTAATGATAATCGATTCAATGATCCAATACAAACGATGTAAAGTAAAAACATCAATACATATTGCCATCTTAAAGATACGCCTTTTATTAATAATTCCCAAATATTCATTCCTTAACATTCAAACATTGCAAACATGAGACATGTTGCACTTTATAGTGAACAGCAGGATATCTATTTTTTATTATTTTTATCAAAAAGAATAGATCGTTTCTCTTATCAATTTTCTTATTTAATAGTAATAAAACTGGGCATATGACATTTTCTCATATCGATCTGAAATGAATCAAATCAAAGCCGTATCTTGGCAGACTTCGTGATACCAGCAAATATTGTATTGTTGTCCAAATAATCAACAACATATCTTATTGTGATGAAACTTGTGATTTACACCCCCAACTGTCCAGGGTGTGCCCCGCCTCTTCCCTAGTGTCCACTGGGATTGTCTCCAGCACACTTTGGATAAGTAGTTCGAGATAATGGATGGATAATAACCGAAAACATGAAACATAAAAAACAACACGTTGCGGTCTTACGGACGGTTATGTGAAGAACTATTTCTTGGCTGGGAGCAGTGATTTCCTGAAGTCTAATGAGGTTAGCATTATTAGTACGTTTTGCTAACTAATGTCACAAACATCGTTCATTGTCCCAGACAATGAACATTGCTGGTGAAGAATTCGGGGAACCTTTAAAGTCCTCTTTGAAAGGAAAATCGTGACTGTTCTGAATCAGAGTATAGTGTTAACAAATAGTTATGAGGTTACTGTCAGGTTTGCAGGCTCCTTTTATGCGTAAAGCATTAGCGGGTATGTCATACAAGCAAGGGGGGTTTTTCACAAAGGATCAAATGAGACAAATAAATAAATTGCAGCGGGCCACTCAGTGTCCTCGGTGGAAAGGTAGGAGAATTTGTTCAAAGTTTTGAATCATTAGTTTTGTGCAGCTCACCACTAGGCCTGTGAAATATATTGCCAGTGACAGCTGGGAAGAGCAAGGTTACTCCCACTGCTGCTGTGAAATACATCTAGACAAACTCCTCATACACCCTCCGTAGGAATCAGATCGCCTCAGCATGTCTTCTCAATATCGTATAGGCTAATTCTGTTTTTTTCAACTTTCTCTTTTAAATTTCTTCCCTCCACTCTAAAACCACCGGTACATAGCGTGTTGTCATGGCAACACATCACTTCTCGACTTAAAATGACGGTAGATTCAGGCGGATGTGTATGGTGTCGGGTGTTATGTGATTGGTTAGCGAAAAATCGAATATCAGAAGAAGAAAAAAAGAGAACCAGGGGTTAAAAAGCCAGCAATTAGCACTGTGTGTTTAGGAGTTTCCTCTAAATGATGAGTCAGTCAGGTATCCAGATGGTTAGAGATAATTAGGTAAATGAATATATGGCCAAGTCGTCTTGAAATTGTTTAACAGCGTCTGTAAATTGAGACAGGGAGCGCTAAGGACCAAACAACTTCAGAGACCAAACTGCTCGTCTTTGACCGAGATGCTCATCGAGTGTTATCCTGTACTGTTACTGTGCTAATTGGATAAACTGTCACTCAACGACACACAATACATTCTCAGTGGCTTCAATGGTATTTTAAAGGAACATTAAAGGAACATTTAGAAAGTTGCAATTTATTTAGCAATATTGTTAATTTGATAGTAGTCGTTTACTGTATGTCCCAAAAATGCAACTCAAACCCACATGAGAGTCCGACTAAACACCTCACGTATGGGGAGCCAATAGGAATGATCCCCAAAAGTGAAGTGCATGATTTAGTTTGGTGGCTTTTTTGAAATGTTCAGAGTTCTGAGTTAGTCCACTCAGGATGCGACAGGAATTCACGTCAACACAATGTTGTTTGTTAGGGAACAAAAACTAGCTCTTGTGTTATCTGTAAAAGAAAGACTTTGCTAAATTACCCAAACTGCAACCTTACTGATGTTAGGTAACAGTTGTTATAGCTAGAATTAAACTGTAAGCATAAGCCTCTCTGGTGCCTTTCACCTTTTGTGGAATTTTGCTTATCCTTGTCCTGTTGTTATTTGGTAGTCTTTTCTTTAAATTGTATAACTGACTACAGTACATTTAGATTGTATGGACCCAGCAGTAGAGGGGAAATGCTTCCCCCTATTTCTTAGAAGCAGGTGGCGAGACATTACACATTGCACCTTTAAGGACAAAAGCCTGTCTTGTGTCCTGATGTCCCGCTTTTACTTTCACCACTTGAATACATTACTGTGACACACAATACGATTGATCATTGTTAACTTAATATATCAATGTCAAAAATACATCTTGACAGCTTTTAATCAATGATTTGTTGCGCTGCAGGGACCGGCTATCTTTCAACAGAACAGGATCACAAGTGGAGACAGAGTGGGTGGAGAGGAGAGGCTAAAAGGCATGCATTTTATTGGTTCTGTCGTCCTGTGTTGATGCTGCTGTTTGTTTAAGACTAACTGATGGCTCTCAGGGGGTTGAGGTGAAGATATGAATGTGTTATGGTGGCAATATAAACAAAGCATGGTTATTAAGTTGCTGCTCTGTGGGAACCTCTCCCTGGATACTGTGTCTTTGCCTGTGTGTGTGTGTGTGTGTGTGTGTGTGTGTGTGTGTGTGCACATACGTGTGCTTGCATAACATGGTGGGGCTGATATCTCTGCACAATTTTGACCCTATCGCCTGTGAGAATTTGAATGATGATCATGAAGCATTTCATCAGCCTGCACACACCTTTGCACACACCTTTGCACATGTGCGTTGTCGTTACTGTCGTACTGCTTATCAACGCAGAGCTTCGAGCTACAACTGTACCCACAGTTAGGTTTTGGAAAGCTTTTTTTTCCCATATTGACTTTCCTCTTTGTTCATTCTACTGCATTAATTGTCTTTATTGATTAAATGCTTTTGGCTACTTGGGGCTGCGCAACAAGCTGTAAACACAACATTGATATATAGCACCGTTTAATGAAGTTATTAATGAGAACCTGTTAGCAAACAGTTGCCCATTTACACATCCAGCACACATTAGCATCCTGTTTATGGCCATGTGGTGAAATAAAGTCTAACATCCACTCGCTGTTTTACCCTCAATCAACTCATGGAGGAAATATCTGGCTCTACAGATCCTCTCCACTATGTTCACCGTCTAGTCCCTAATTTGACTTTGTCTGCTATTTGGTGATAGGCAGGCAGTGCACAGTAGGATTTATTAGCATTTTCACTGAAAACAGCTGCCAAAGACTTAACAAAATTAACATAACCCTGTAATTCCAAACATGAAGTGTTCCCACATTCACCAACTAAAGCAGAACACACTTTTGTGTAACATTCAAAGGGTCTACTTTTCTATTCTACACTTTTAACATTGTTTTGTGCTTTTTGGTGCAAAAAACCCTCTTCAACCCTTCAATACA